TGAGTTTTTTGAAAAAATTCCCTAACCCGGATGTTCCCAGACCTGAATCGTCATGAAAAACATGGAGCGTTTGGGGGGAAGAAAGAAAAGATCCTCAGGATCCAGAAATGTTATTTTTCATCAGTGCCTCCGGGAAGATATGACAGTCAGTCTGTGTTAGGTTCACACTCTCATCAAATTCTAAGTTTTTCCAGGAAGAGAGTAAAGGAAAACTTTTGTCTTTCTTGGCTGAAGGGTTAAGGTTTAATTCCTCCCTCTGCTTTTGGGACTCTCTTAGCCACATTCCAGTTCAGGGGACAGCTCCTTTTAAGTGGGTGCTCCCAGTGAATGTGCTCTTCAGTGGGGATTCTGGCCAGGAGTTGTCCAAGGACAGGCTGCCAGATCCACGCTGGCAAAGGCCTCAGAGAAGTAGGACGTGGGTTAAGCCGAAAGATACGAAGCTTATGGGCATGCTGTACTCCATACCTTACACTAGCTCCGTTCATTTAATGGTTGTTTGGTGAGCACTGTGTGTGTCCGGGAGAGTAGCTCGTGCTAGAGAGTCAATGGCGAGCAGACAGACATCGCTCTTCCTTCATGTAGCTTACTAGCTAGTGTAGAGACAGACAGTAAACAAATAAACATCCTGGTGCACAGTGAAGAACTTCACTTCCTAAGTGCCATGAAGGGGAATTTCAATGTGCAAAGGTGTACGGCCAGAAGGCCCGTCCTATTCCGGGCTGGCTGTGGTGTGTCAAGGAGGGTTTCCTGAGCAGGTGACATTTGAGCAGACCTTAGAACGATGAGCCGGGGTTTAGCTAGCCGAGTGAGGGGTCATGAAGAGGCCCTTCAAGGAACACAAAGTGAATGTGGCTGAGGCCAAGTGAAGTATGGGTAGAGCGGCGGCAGGCAAGGCTGGAGAGGAGGGGAGGTCAGAGCATGTGGGCCCTGGTCAGTCATGGTAAGCATTTTGCAGCTGAGCTCCCGTCCTTTCACCTTTCACCTTTCACCTTGATGAAGCCAAGTCTGCAGGCTTCTCCTCACCTTTTTCTGCTTCTCATCTGTTTGTGCTGGTCACCTGAGCCTCTCACTAATCCATAGCCTCATCTGGAGTGAAGGAAGTGCTGACAGACAGTGAGCGTAGACCCGACTGTGGGCTGTACGCCAGCTCTGCAGACCATTCTTGGAGTAAGCAAGGGGGTGCAGGTGAAACGTGTCTTCTCTGTGGGCTGCGCTCATTGTCGCACCCACCCTGATGCCCACTGCCCTCCCTGCCCACCTCTCCTCGCCCCTTTAACCTGTCCAAGGCAGGCTGACCAGCCTTGCCACTCTGGCCACTGATTCGCCCAGATGAAGCAAGCAGGATCTCGTGTCTTATGACGTTGGAGGGTTCTGCAGGAATGAAGAGAGCACCCCCCACTCTGCACGCACAGACACTCCTCAGCCAGCTTCTGCTTCTCTGAGACGTGCAAATAGTCTCTAAGTGTTTTTACGCATCAGTGCTCCGATAAGGGAAACTTGTACAAAGACTAATTGTTTTTATGCTTCCTTTATAGAACATGAACACATTTGAGTTTTTGTTTCTTGTTCTGGAACATTAATGCAAGGCTTGGGAATATCAGCTTTACAGTTTTGTTTTCCTATTCCCAGAATAGGTTTAAAACAGAGAGCAACATGCCTACCTACATAACTTCTTCAGTGACAGTTGTTTTAAAAATACATAGCTTTCTTCTAAGAGAGCTATTAAGTAGAGAGAAAGTCAGTGAGAATGGACATTAAGGGATTATCATGAAGATAGCTTTATGATCATGACTGTCATTGCCGTTGTCAAAGAGGCATTTATTAAATGGTAAATCCTGTTTAGTATTTGCTGCTATAAAGAAAATTACAAAGTCGTAGCCTTTGTCCTGGGAAAATTTCAAGCTATGGAGACAGCCTTGATTTATAAATATTTGAAAAGGGCATAAAGGTAGCAAGAACCAAAACAAGAGATTGCAAAAGATTGGGTCAATAGATAAATGGACTTCAGGTATTTATATTGCTTATACATCGAAGGTCACAACCAATCCGGGTTGCTGTTCTGTTAGTCAGGACAGGGTGGCTTGTGCTGTGGTAACAAACTCCATACCTAGTAGCTTAACACATGGAGTTTATTTCTCACTCCATACTTCATATTCATCACAGAATGCCGGGGGCTCTGCTTTGTGTCATCACTCTTCAGGGAGCTAGGCTGACGGGCCCTTCACCATCAGGCATGTTACTGGTTCCCCTGGAAAAAGGGAGGACATAAGGGCCGTTGTGACTGGCATTGAAGTGTTTCTGCCCAGAAGTGACACTTTACTTCCACATACATTCCGTTAGCTCAGGCAAATCACGTGGTGATATGTAGCTCCAAGGCAGCAAGAAAGTACAGTCCTCCTTTAGGAGGAAAACCAGAATGTTGATGAACAATGAGAAACTTCTGGTTAAATTTAATAATTACTCTAGCCACAGTAATTGATCAGTCAGCCTGTCAAATGGTAATAACACGACTACTTATCAGTAATGGAACACTTCCTACGTACCAGCGTCTTTGCTGAACAATTCACATACGTTATTACACCTAATTCTTTACCAGCCTCTCAGGTGGGTTGTATTATTATCTCTGTTTTCCACACGATAAAATTAAAACTGGGAGTCTTTAAGTAACTTGCCTAAGGTTACACAGCTAGTATTTAACAGAGCTGTGATTCAAACCTACTTCCTCCTAATTTGAGAGTCTGAGCATTTCTCCAAGATTCCTATCATGTAAGTGAAGTCTCTTGACTTCCTGTGCATAGTGCTGGAAGGAACAGAGTAAAGTGTTTTCTGACCTAGTTACTTAGAATTGCTAAAACATGTCTCTGCTTTGCTAAAAATCACCTCTGGCTTTGTTGGTCTTTAGAACCAAATGGATTATTTTTCTTTTTGTAAACTCTTCTCAGCCCTGTTCTGCTTAGCTTCCTGTTTTTATGGTTGGTAAGATAATTTTTCCCTCACATGAGTTCCTTGAGAATTGGCTTCCCAGGCACTTTCACGTTTTTCTTGCACCTAGGATTACTAGGGCTTAGAACATCCTGTGATCACCAAGACACTGTTAGGGAAGGCTCGTAGTTGAAGAATTCTTAGAAAACGTAGTCACTTTTTTAAACTTCACTTACAAGCATGTTCCCCAAAATCACTTGTTTTCAATTCTGTTTTAGTTTTCTCCTATTTGTGAATTAAGTCTCTCCCTTTTGTTTTAGAACATTTTATTAGTTCATTATTTTCTTTTCCATTATATCTCCAGTGTCTAGCAAAATGCCTGGCACATATATCTTAAAAATGAAAGAAAGAATCAATGAACTGGTGGATTTCATATTCAGGTTCTTCTTCAACTGCTCTTCCCTGGTTATCTCCTTCACCAATGTTTGGACAGATAGCCACTCTGCTCTTAATTATTCCATTGTTTACTGCCTGTATGATTGTGATAAATTTTGTAACGTGTTCTCTCACCTATAAAGTGGGGATAATGGTGTGCCTACCTCTTAGACTTGTGTAGTGAGTATTAAATAGTTTCATGCTACAAAGAACTTGGAATATTACCTGACACAGAGAAAGTACAATAATGATCTCTTTACCCTTTGTCTTGGGAGTCAAAATTGTCCTTCAGATTTCACTTTTCAGGTTCTTTCTTACACTGCCTTATACCTAAAATTTCATGTCCTTTCTATACGAATTCATCACAGGGAGTTTAATTGTATTATTGCCATAGAGTGAGTTACTCCTTTTAATCCAATCATTTATAATCTGTTCAGGTTATTTCCCCAGAGAGTGATATTTGTGTAAGACATTCATTCTTTTTGGCTTAAATATTAGTTATTGAGACACGATGGGCTTGATTATTTGGGATCCATGCATATAGCCACATACTCATTCATTGATTCCTTTATCCATTCAACAAGTATTTATTGAGAGTAATTATAGATATGCTTAGAGGCAGAAAAGAATGTTAAAATCTTTTAGACCAGATCTACCCTCGTTTCTACAGATTTAATACTAAGCACCTAAAAGCTGCAGTGTCAAAGTTGTCTCACTGAGAACAGTTAAGTGAAGGAGGATTTCATTTTGTTCTCCTTCTTGGACAGTCCCATTCACCGCAGGAAAGACACTCACATGAAATCATGAACTTGTGCTCCTGTATGTTTTCTTTGTACTAATGGGAACATTTTGAATCAAATATGAAGAACACTAATTCATATATAGTCTGAAGAACCTCAGTTTTAAGTCTGTTATGGTTGATCCCAAGTCTGTACGGACCTAGGGAGAGTCTAGAGTACCATGTTTTGAGGTCTTCAGCCTGGCAGTCTCACATCAGGGAACTTGAATGTGGTTACAGAAGGATGCCAGAAGACCTCCTGTATCAGTTTTCCATGAAAATTACCACAAACTAGTTGGCGTACAACTGTATACATATTTTTCTCTCACAGTTCTGGGGGCCGGAAGTCTGAAGTCGGTATGCTTCCTGGAGGTCACTGAGGCTCCCTCTAGAGGCTCTAGGAGGGTCCCCATTCTTGTGTCTTCCAGTGTTTATGGCTGTCAGCGTCCCTGGACTTGTGGCTGCATCACTCCAGTCTCTGCCTCCATCTTCTCATGGCCTTCTCTGCTGTGTGTGTCTGCTCCTCTTTGTGTCTAACTTATGACGATACTTGTGCTTGCATTTAGAACCCACCTGGCCAATACAGGATAAGCTCCTCCACTTAAGATGCCTAACTTAATCACATCTTTTGTTGTATGCAGTAACATTCACTCTTTTGCCATTTAAGGTAATACTCACAGGTTGTGGGGATTAAGACGTGGACATATCCTTTCATGGGGCTGCCATTCAATCCACCATACCTGGGTTCAAGTCCTTGTTTGACTAACTATCCACAATTAGGCAAGTTATCACATCTTTCTGAAATTCAGTTTTCTCATCTGTAAAATGAGATATCAATGCCCAGTTTACAGAGTTTTAATGAGAAACAGAAGAGAGAATGTATGTGATGTTCCCTAACTTAGTTCTCAACATAATTAGTTGCCTTAGTTCCAGGTACTCAGAGGGTAGAACAGATTTTAAACTGTTTTACTTTAAAGAAAAAGGTGGCAGAGCGGAGGGGGCGCAGGCGGCGCTGGCCGCGGGCTGCGAGCAGGGGGGCTGGCGGAGCGCCTTGGGGCGCAGTGTGGGGCACTCGCGAGCCCAGGGCAAGGTGTCCAACGAACAGACGGCGCCCCGGGAGCCTTGCCGACCGGCAGCAGGGCTACAGAATGGTACCCCTAAATGGAGAGAGATTACAGGGCTGATCAGAGAGGACGAGAAACAAGGAAGGCTTCTGAAGGAGGGCATCCTCCGATTCTTCCCCCACCTGAATCCCTGTTGCTATGGAGACCACCAATGGGACTGAGACCTGGTATGAGAGCCTGCATGCTGTGTTGAAGGCTCTAAATGCCACTCTTCACAGCAACTTGCTCTGCCGGCCAGGGCCAGACAACCTGACTGAGGAGAGGCGGGCCAGCCTACCTGGCCGCGATGACAACTCCTACAGGTACATTCTCTTCGTCATGTTCCTATTTGCTGCCACTGTGGGCAGCCTCATCCTGGGATACACCCGCTCCCGCACAGTGGATAAGCCTGTGACCCCAAGCCTGTGACCCCTGTCATGTATACATCAAGAACCGTGTGTCTGCGCTCTAATGCTAAGAGGCCGGGGATGGCAGAAGATCAAGGTTCCTGAGGATTATCTTGTGGGGCCTCCAGAACTCAGCTATGTGTTACATCAGGCCTCCGTGTTCTAATCTGTAAGATCAACAGGAAACAGTACTAAGGGAGGTCATCATTGGGGAAGGAGGAGAGGATCTAGCAGACCTAGGCCTTGTGGATAAGGATTTTTTCCAGCAAAGATAGACTTTATAGACAGTAGGAGCCCTTTGAACAAATATATAAAAGTGGCAGGAGTTCCCTGGTGGTGCAGTGGTTAGGACTCTGTGCTCTCACTGCCAAGGGCCTGGGTTCAATCCCTGGTCGGGGAACTGAAATCCCACAAGCCGTTCAGTGTGGCCAAAAAAAAAAAAAAAGTATATATATATATATATATATATACACACACACACACACACACACATACAGACACATACACATATATATATGTATATATATATATAAGTGGCAACATATAATGATAAATGAGTGTTCTAGTGGCAGGAGTGTTGGGGGCTAGGGGCTAGAGGAAGGAAAAGAGGAAGTTGTAGCAGAGGGAAATGAGACAGGAAAATGCGCTGAGGACACATGTTTTGATGTGTTATCTTCAATGACCATGAGAAGCAGTAATGATTATCCCATCACAGACAGGAAATCTAAGTTATGTTACTTATTTATATTTTTTCACATTTTATGTTTTTCAGCCCATTTAACATTTGTGATTTTACCCCCTGTGAAGGAAGCAGAGCAAGTGCCATTCTGCCCATTTAGGCCAAAGCAGTACCCTGACTGGAACCCAGGTTCTCTGATCACCTTGCCTAGTGCTTTGCAAAACTGTGTGCTACCTAGGAGTGGATCTAGGCCTGAAACTTATATAATTCTGGGGGGCCCTCCTTAAGAAAAAGAATTCTAAAATATTTTTGCAAGTATTACAAAAACCTATCACCATGTTAATACATTGTTGGGGCCTCTCCTAATATCTAAGAAGGAGCCATGCAAGTACAGAACCCTGACTGTCAAGCCTCATTAGCTCCATGGTCTCTATGCCCTTCCACCCATGTCCCACTGCCTTTCCCAGCCCCATCTCCAGTCCTGGGGACTTCACTACCTCTAAGGAAGCCTCTAACGTTTTGAATGAATTCTGTGAGTAATTTTCTGATATCAAGTTGAAATCTGCTTCTAGAAGATTATTATCACACCTAGAAGATTATCATATTAAAAGAGGCAGGTACCTGATTCAGTGGAAAGAGAACCAGCCCTGATTCTACTACCAGTGTGGTGTATAAACTGGCTAGACACTTAAAAAAAAAAAAAGAAAAGGTAAGGTTGACTTATATTTGGTCAGAATTTGTTAAAGTTTTATGACTTGGTTGAAAAAATATTATTGAGCAACCACAAAATGGTTTTATATTTAGTTCACCATTATGCATAGAACAGCCAAAAAATGGTTTTATATTCAGATAACCATTCTATGTTGGCTCTGCCTCATTTAATAATAATTCCTTTCTGTCTGCTTTCTGCTGCTTCCTAGCCACTAGCATATTTGATAGCATATTACTATGTGATGTCAAATTCTTTAAATAATAATGAGTGATAGTTGGAGTAACAAACCAGTGATGTCTTGCTGTCACAGGCCTGCAAAAAAAAATCCGTTGAAATAGTCTGGCTGAATGAAACTATAAGGGCAGTATAGAAGTTATCATCCACATTTTACAGAATTCTTATTTGAGTTATGTACTTACAGATTCATATTCCAGGCTCTTTCTTAGTTGAACTGTAATTTCTACATCTAGAAGTAAAAACACTCATCAGAAAAATATGACTAAAATATAATATCCGAGTTTTGTGGTAATACATGGCATTGATTTTATTGAGTTGTTTGTGATTTGGAATAGCTCTGTCTCTCTGAATTAGGAGACAACTGAAGAAATTTAGCCAACATTCACAGATAGGTATAGCATAATTAAAGTCAAGGCGTTTTTCAAAATTTAACCTCAGTGTGTTCCTCTGCAAATTCTTATTTTTAGTAATTTTAATTTCTGCAGTCACCCCTTTTCAGTATCTTCTAGTCTCATTCTTTCTTTATCTTGCTCATACACTTTGGCCCCCTTGGCATCTGCTCCTTCTTCTTGCTTATGGAAAGAATGTTGACCTTGAATATGCATAATATTTCATTCTGTGAACTATAGTAAAGTTGATGTGACAATTGGAATAGGCAGGAGGCAACATAATGAGCCAGGTGTCTTCCAGCTCTAAAATCCCATGAACTTACATTCTTCTGAATATTAGCTCCTAAATTAAAATCTCACACTCTATAGCTGAATCCTATCACTATCCTGTCTATCTCCTTTCTCCAATCTAAAGGAAGAATTTTTTATTATTTCATATCTTGGTTTTTTTGGATTACTTTGAGTTATTTTTTTAAAAAAAGTAATGAAGATATTAAGTCCAAGTTTTCCGGAAGCGTGTGAGCGTGTTATATGTGTGTGTTTGGGCGTAAGAGACTGAGAGTTTTCCTTTTACTCAACCAACCTTTTAGAGGTCTTCAGAGTTTCCAGGTAAGTTTATTTCTTTAAGACACGACTGCTTTTTTTTTCATACAACCATTTCACATCTTCCAAGAAATGACTACAAGAACATCTGCTTCAGTGTTCATACACATCTTATCTGATCATCGTTTCCATTCTTTTCCAACCCCCATTCCAAATCACATCCAAAATGGCAAAATGTGACTTTAGACGCCAGTTGTGTCCTCTCTATGAATGTTTTCTGTATTTGAAATGGCTGGGGAATTATCTTGCCTCTACCAATAGTAATTTAGAATGAGAGGGATTGGATAAGGGTCATTTCCTCCATCTCCTGAGATTTCAAAAGCTCTGTTTTCTTTTATACCTGATCGGGTCTACCAGTTGCAAAGCTGTATGATGTAGTGGAGAAGTGCATGCGGTTAATTATGACAATTACAATCAGTTCTTTACAATCTTTGCTTCTCTTATGGGGTTTAAAGACTATAATGTATGTCAAAAGGACAAAATAATGTTTCTGTGTTTTCTGCTTACAGCTGCTTTTATGACTGGGTTTTGCTCATAAACAGGTGGTTATAAGATGCAATCCTTCCATTAGTCCATTTATCTTACCTGTCTTGTACCCTGGGTTCCCTGGTATGTCATTAAACACAAGTGTTGAGATTCCCAACAACTCTGAGGGAATCTCAGGGCCTGGACAGAATCCCTTGAACATGTTACAATGAAAATGAAACCACTTATGGTCAGTGGAAGTAGATAACATGCATTTAGTTAATTTTCAGAAACTCCCTCGCTACTCTCAGACCTCTGCGGTCTGCCTTCCTGCCCGCCCCCCTTCACCATCTCTCCACTGTTTTTTTTATCCCTGCTTAATACCCACTCTTTCAACTTTGCCCCAGTGAAACTCTGTGCCCAGTTTCTTCTCACCTTTTTGGTCTCAAGTTCATAGCATGTTGTGAAGAGTATAGCACGTGGAAATGAATTTCTGTGCTGTTGGCACAGTTACTTTTTCTCTGATGTTGTAAGTCGAATCCTTACAGTGTGCACGTTGCCACCTCATCCTTGCCGAGGGCAGCTAGGAAAGAGGTAAGACAAACTTTTTCTCTCAGCACACCTTCCTTCTCTGCGACGCTCACCTCTGCCTGAGAGGTAGGTATGAAGAGGTAGAGGTTCATGGCGAATGAAACTCTCTGAGCCTTTTCCCCCTTGAGTGTACCTTGCTTAAATAGCATTGTTTCCAGTTAATGACCATCTGGTAAAGCTGACAGCCTCAAGTCCTCCTAATTCTTAACTGTCTGAAAAAAATGTGCCCAACCTGCCATGGCTTATGACTGAATTATATAAACCATGAAGCACAATAAAGTCATTAACTTTCAACATGTCAAATTTGACTTGAATTGCATCCTGCCCAGAATTTGATGGCCTTTCCCCAATACTTAAGAGAGCAGGCCTGTGTACTGTTCAAAAAGCACTTTGTCACTTCTCAGAGAACCAGTAGCTTTGCGTGGCTGTCTGGACGTGCACGTCAGCAGGTCTGGGAGAAGAGGAATGTCTAGTGAAGTAAAGAGCATGGAGAAGCAGGTGTGAGGTCCACTAGGGAGAGGCAAAGCATCTCTTCCCAGGAAAAGGGACGAGAAGAAGTATTCTACATTTGGGTACTGCACGTTTATCCTGAAAATAACGATTCACTTTGCAATGGGGAAACTTTGGATGAAAGTGTGTGCTTTACAATTCTGATTACCCTTCCCCCTTTGTTCCCCACTATCAAAAATAATCATATTCTATAAATGTCAGTGGAATGTGGTTAGAGTGAAGCTACATTTTTGGAGAACCAGGTGTCAGCTCTGTCAGATTTCTATGAATAGGTACATTTATATACACTTTTTCAAAGAAAGAAAGGCCACTCACCACCCTGCTTGTAAAACTGTCAAGGATTTAGGAAAGAACTATGGTAGGCTGTCTTCACGTGGGAAAGGAAATCTGGTTCTCAAGATATTTGGGGCATTGCAGTGAATAAGGGATATTAATAGAGTTCCACCCCCAGCCTCTCTGGCTAAGAACTGATCTGCCTAGAATTTAAGAAGGAGAGGCATCTAAAGCCTTGTCCAGTGCTCAGCCCTACTGCCATATGAAGGTGTCATACTGAATGTGGAGGGGAAAGTGTGGGCTTTGGGATGTATTACTGGTGCACTATCCCCCCTATTCCCATCCCTTCTTGTCCCTGGATTCCCATCTGTTTAGTGAACATACTTAGGACGGGATGGTGTTTGAGGATCCTCTCCTTTCTAGAGACTAGGATAATGTTGGGTTCTTTGTATTATGGCATGGGTGGTTGGATGAAGCAGTGTCACCAAAGCCTTTTTGCAAAGTAGATTTTCAGATTTCTGAAGGCTCTGGGTCAGGGGCTGGATAGCCTTGAAAAGAAAGGA